CATTTGACACTATATTTTGACAAGCGCCCCAAAATCTCCTTGCTATCTATCAGAGTGAAACTGTGACGGCACTTCTCATTTACTCTGTATCTATTCTGTTTTTAGATTGCTTTGTGTATGCACCAGTGTTCTCTTTAAAAATAACACGTTAATTGTTATCACATTCTATAATCTATATATTTTTGAGATAAGTGCTTTTTTAAATTTTGTACGGTTCAATTAGTACAGATAAATGTGATTAGTGTTCTTAAATATTTTTGTAAGATTTGATACTCCTCACACACTATGAAGTTTTGTCTACTCAGTGATAGGTGACTGTGTGAGTGAGATATGATTAACGAGGCGTTTGAGTTTGACCGTAAGTGTTGCCGCTTTAGATGTAGTTTATTCCTATCTCTTTCTATTTGTTTCATCCTTTACGTAGTAGAGCCACACTGCAGCTATGTTATGGTTGTAGCACAGATGAGCTGGCTCGCCCGGAGATTGACCACGCTCTCACAGAATACCAGCGTAAAATACTCGTAACAGCTCAACGCTGCTGTGGTTCGTACGATGAGTATAAGGAACCGGATGTCCATTTACTGAAAACAAGGCAACGTAGTCCCCAGGGATAGCAACGCATCAGCATTTTGCTTCCTAATCGCGGAAAAATATGGATGTCTATGAGCCACTGCATCCACTTACCAGCAGGTGGACTGTGTGCTCGTTTGTCACTCTCATTATATAAAAAAGAAGAAATAAAGACATTTAGCTGATGATATATCGCGATCTATCGACCAGGCAGACTTCAAACTCTTCGCTTTGCGTAGTTGTTTCTCATACACAAGATGAATAATTTTACTTTGTATCCCCACGGCATGGTGACCATCATGGGGTCGGTTGTTGTTTTATCGGGAACTACACTGCACCAAGGGGCTAGTTATTTCAGAGATGAGCTTAACGAAGCGAAATGTGTCTGATTTACGTTGACGATTACAGTACATCCAAAGTGTTAAACATGTTTTTGTTTGTCATGATGTTATCTTCAGCCGTCGCCGTAGAATACCATTCCTCACGCAGATCATCGGTGAGATTAATCCGACCACGTTTAAACTCATTAAACCAGTTGTAAACAGTGGCACGAGATGGGGCTTCATCGTGAAAGGCCAATCGAAGTCTCTCATACTTTATGACATCGAATGTCATAAAAAAACATTGTACGAAAATTTTCTCGCGTTAAATCCATGCTGACGTGACACAGACAATTTTCAATTTGCCGCCAAACCGTAAACAAATGACAAATTAAGAAAATACGAGTACATATACCGTTTACAAGTGGCCAGTTCTAAAAACTTTCAGAGTAGCCCTCGTATACACCTACCTATTAAGAATCAAAATGAAGATGCGTTGTCGTTCCGAAGCACCAAGGTGCTATGACATCAGTGGTATCAGTAAAAAGGGGTCTCTGTCCCGTCTAACTCCTCTACTTTTTACGATAAGTTCTGATTAACAGCAAGGTATGCTGTTACATGGGCCTTTAGCCTTAGTCTGATATTGCACTCTTATTTGTTTTTCAAAAATATTTTTGAACAACTTAGTTTAAATTTTTGGTTTGTTCTTATTATTTACGAGCGACTCGTCCCGGATTCGCCTGGATCGATTATTGTGACGTTAATTAGATTAAAGATAATACAAAGATTATTTATATTACAAATTTTTAGTCTTTTACAAGCCTTCAAGTTTTTCGGATAAAATATATCGTAGATTCCTCCTGGCATTGCACCGGTTCCTAAAGTCTGATCACAACAGCGATTCCGAAGATTAGCGCTGACAGACAGACAAACAAAATTTTAAAAATGGTTATTTATGGCTTTAAGCATGCAAAATGTACCCCTAAGCATAAATTCAAGTTCATTTATAAATATAGATGCACAGATTTGTTTTAGTTGTGCTGTATAATTAATTTTGTTAATTAAGTTGTGCTCATTATTTAATTAATGAGTTACAATGATATGCTATCCAGCTGATTGTACGAGGGGCGTTCAATGTATTCTCGGTATGGGTACGTTAGAAAAAAGATAAAATTATAAAAAAAATATATTTTGGAATGCTGTCTCCCATGACATCAATACCTACATTTACTTGTTCGTGAAAAATGCTCATTTACAGCGGACTTAAGCACATTATCGTCAGCAAATCGCTTTCCCCGAAGGTTTTTTTAAAGTATGAAAATAAAAAGTAGTTACTAGGGGCCTAGATCTGGACTCTATGATAGGTGGTTCATTTCCTCAAACCCGCAGTCTCGTAGAGCAGCCTTGGACAGCCGTACAGTGTGAATCAGTGGGTTGTTGTGAAGAAGCATCATCCCCTTGGTCAGATTTCCTCTTCTCTTTTCTTTTATTGCTTCTCTGAAACGGCGTAAAGTGACTGAATGTTAGTCTACGTTGATGGTTTCACCTTTTGTTTGTGTACTCGATCAATAGTATTTCTTTGGAATCCCAAAACACTGTAGGCATGATTTTACCGGCCGACGGAGTGACTTTGAACTTCTTGGTCTGATGCCTTTTTATGTCATTGAATAGACTCTTGTTTACTCTCAAAGTCGTAGTGGTGAACCCACGATTCATTTCCCGTAACTATCCTCGAAACCATTTGTTGTCTCGTCACCACACAGCTCTCAAAACTCCCTACAATAGTTAAACCGCGCCTGCTTTTGAAGTGCAGTAAGCATTCGCGGCACCTATCTTGCACTGACTTTTGTGAGGTTGAGATAGTAATGCAATATGATGTGTGTGGTATCAACGGATAGGTTAGTCATTTCTGCTAACGTCTTAATTCTTACTCGTGCATCTTCTAATACAAGTTTTTAAATAATTTTCACATTTTTTCTGTAGCCGCTGTGATTGGCCCACACGGGCGGGGGTTGTCGTCAATGCTTTCCCTGCCTCTTTTGGATTCACTCGACCACTTCTGTACAGTTGATATTGAAAGATCAGTCTTGATAAACGGGGCCATCATTTCTTCATGGATGTTTTTGGAGATTTTCCTTATTTAGTGAGAAACGACATTGTTCTGCGTTCATACAATGTTCGCCTAAGAACCAACAGTAACAAAAAATAACTTTTTAAGTCCGAAATTATACATAATTGTATGTAAGAACGATAACTCTTGACGGACACTTCCGAAAACAGAGATATTAGCAGTCATCGTAGAGATTTTGAGGTTATCTTTTATTTTTATGAAATATTACTATGTTATTGCTAATGTAAGCAGTTCAGTCTTAGCCTAGCACTTACACGGTAAATAAAACTCAGGTGTGTTCTCTGTGATTAGGTATTTGTTTTAAACATACCAATTAAATACAATTTATACACTCATTTGGCAACCAAAGTAATGATTGATACTATCATTACCATCATTACTTTCGAGCAAAATATTATTCAAGAATCGAGCAGAGGGTTGATATTTTCTTGGTATCGGGCCTAACTTAAATACCATATTAAGGTCATAACATGGGCGCAGCAACCTATAGTTCTGGGCCCAACAATACAATTACAACGATATTTTTTATTGCCTCCCAATTTCTGACTCATCAACCAAAATGTTTACAAAATAAGTTTTACTACTAATATGGTGGCTATGTATTCTCCCTCTCAAGAGCCATACATTTTCAGAATGTAGTAAATGTAATTCAGTAATCAGTAATCAACTCCTGTTCGACCTCCATGCAAACTTCAACAACATAATTACCGATCGCACGTCTGACGCCTATCTATTGTATCGTCTTGTCATCTGTCAACATAAACATTTTTTTTTTGCGTGGCACAATGTTGATTGGCCAATGAGAGTAAAATAGTATTGTTATTTTTAATGAATACACATGATTTTACTGTATTACAGTTCCTTGTAGTATATATACTAATCTTAGGTATATTTTAAATTATTAACGTTTTCATAATATATTTGAGTTTATGACAACTTTTGAAATACTGTTAAATGTAATTGTGCGATTGGCCAAATCACAGGAGTCCAGACGCAGCAAATTAATAAAAAATACGTACAAAGTGTAGACCGGTGCAAAGCTTAAAATCTAAAAAGTCCTTTTTATTTCGACTCCATAATTCAGAAGTGTCCGTTACTATCTAATGAATGTTATCTAATGCATAATTAAGGATAAGAATTTTAGTAACTGTCAAATTTATGTTGGTTCTTAGGCGAGATTTAACAATGTCCTTTAACCAGCACGGTGTTCGATTTTTTTCAACATTGTCGAGTAGTCATGTCAAGACGACAAAAAAAAAAAAAAAAGGGAAAAAACAAAAAAAAAAAAAAAGGTCAAAAAAAATATCGAGAATGCCGCAACACCTTAAATAAATACGGCTTAAGATGCATTGTCCACCCCTGATGGCTAAGATGAAATACCTCACAGTCTATAATTTTACTGGCTCTCTATACCTCAAAGCACAAGGATACATGAAAACTAAAAATTTACGGTAAAGGCGCCTGAAATTCGAATCCGAGTAATATCCGTACTCTGACACAGGCCACATAGTCGTCAAAGGTGTAGACAATGTTATTATACGTGCCACGTTATATAAACCTTAATATTTTATTTATATGGACGCAATTAACTTATCTGTATCACATTACGAATCTGGCTATCTGATAACGATAACGAGCTGCCACTTTGTTTGTAACTTTTAAAAATAGGTCGGTCTGATATATTAACGTCGCATGTTTACTTCACTTATTTATCAATTGAATAGATTTTTTAAATTAATCAAAAATATTTTTATAAGTCTGAATTATAATTTTATTTTGGCACCGACCAGTGATGTACATATTGATATACTAGTTGAGGGACTTTTTCCAAATTCGTAAATTTTCAAAATATAATGAGTTTAACTTTGAACTTCGAAGGCATTCGAAAGAAGCAATATTATTTTAATATGAATCGTTTTTCCGAATCAGATTTCCGCAAAGTAACTTTGATTGTTTTAATCGTGAACCTGTCGGTACAGCGGACGACGATACTGCGTGCGACTCTGACGCGGCGGCTGAGGCGGCGGCCGCGTTTGCACGCGCCTGCGCCCCCGACACGCAGCGCTTGCTCGCGCCCGCCTCCCCGATCGCGCCTCGTCGCCTTCTCCACGACCACGACGAGTGAGTATACAATATTCATTGACCACTTTGTTTTTTTGTTTTTTTTTTTGCGCCCAAAGCAATAAGGGCAACCCTCCGGAAAGCGGGGGAGGGAGGCAGTGAATGCTCATAGCATATCACGCAGCCGGCTGCGTGGTTATGTGGAGACTTTTACCCACTAAACACCGCCTTTAGGGACTGGCTTAACAATCTAGCTAGAGGTGGTTGTAAAAGCGTATACATTGCCCCATAAATGAATTACTAGTTCTGTGGAGTCTAGTAACTGGTTTGTTCCTAGTGTTTAAAGTATGAACATCTTTATTCTTATGAAATCTATTTATGTTTTTATGTACATACATTACATTTTCATAAATATATTGCGATGCTAAAGTGTAAAAAATATAAGAAGAAGAAATTAAGAAATATGTTTATTTCTTTAAAATTTTCTGTGAGAGCGTGGGACTCGTTATAATTTAGTTATGAATCGCCCGTACAGCTTTCTTTTGCAAAACAAATATTACTTCAATGTCAGTCGCATTACCCCGTAGCAAGATTCCTTAAGACGATTACAATATGGAAGTAACTAAAATAAACTAATCGAGCTGTCGCAACATTGGTGAGACTTCTAATCTTTCTTGCAGCATGTGCTGCAGAACTAAGTCTGCCTGCTAATTTAGACGCTAGAGAAAAACAGCAATATCCACAAGACTCAACTCTTTCCCATTTAAGAATACTTTGGTATTTGAATGTTTAACATTAGGTATTATAAATTTAATACATTTTCTCTTATTGCCTTTTAAGAGCAAATTGTTGGCGTTAAACCAAAGTACTAATTTCGATAGCACATTACTTACATTGTCCAAATTATTTGACTGTCTTTTTGATGTGAGTTTGAAAATTAAACATGTATAATCAAATAATACTATATTGTGATTGTGCCCTACAAGATGAGGTAAGTCATTAATATAGACTAAGAACATGAATGAGCCAAGAATCGATCCCTGAGGAACGCCCATTGATAACTACTGACTGTGAGAGTAAGGAAATGGAAAGTGCACCTGTGCTTGCACATACACTCTACTCCAGTTAGGACTACCAGGTAATGGAATCGGAGATTGGGTTGCAGTTCCGGTCCGAAAAAAGTCCGGTTTTCAGCTGGCATATCACATCATCAATAAGACTCAATAGATTGTAATTACGCTTTATTTCCTAATTTATACATTTATTTCGGCTTATATTTTTAGCCACTAGGAACAACATCTTTTCAATTTTAATTTTATTTTGAAACTCTTTACAAGTAATGTGTTTGAATTCGTATTCACTTGCTCACTTGCACTGGCCTGTAGACCTATCTCTATAGTCGGCGTGGAGAAAATCTGTTCTATACTTAAATCTCAGCAGAGGCCAGTTTTAGCTTCTAAAATCCGGTCATGGTTGGATTTATCCGATCAGATGGTAGCCCAACACTCGGGCACTATGATCCCGTCTTAGGCATATGTCTAGATTCCGTTGAGACTGGTTACTGGACATTACATCATCATTATTATTATTCCTCAACGTTTTATACGTGGTAGGGCCATGCTGCAGTTATATTTACTAGCATTAGTATATATAAGTAGCACGAATGGGTCGGCTCGATGGGGAAGGACCACGCTCTCACAGAATACATTATGTATGTATAGCTTAATGCTGCAGTGTATCGTATGGTCAGTGTAGAGAACCGGATACCCTTTTTACTGGCAACGAGGCATTCCATCTTAGTTTTCACGGGTGACAACGCATCTAAATTTTGAGTCGTAATCAAGGATAGATGTAGATGTCCATGGGCCACAGCAACCACTTAACATCAAGTGGACTGTGTGCTCGTTTGTCACCCTATCCTTTAAAAAAAAGATAGCAAACTTTATTACCAGCATGTTTTATTTTCTTTCACAAGTACTTGACAAGACAAAAACAAATGCTCAATAAATATCTAGCACAGATTTAACTAGGCAATCCATTTATTTCTCACTAAGTAAACTGAAACGCGTTTCTTTGTTTAACTAAGTATTTAAAATGTGACGTTATTTCATCGTTAAAATATCTCAAGTTGTGAGAAGCGGGCGCAAATATTTGTGATAGGACACAAAACCTCGACACTCCCGCGTATGTGACGCGTCAGCAAATAGCTCGGGAGAACTAGGCAAAGTTGATAGAGAAATTATTTCATTTTATTATATTCTGTAAACATCCAACTGATTACGATATAATATGTTCATTTATAACAAGTAATTCTTATTGAAAGTATTTTTTTTTACTTTTACTACTGGTTCTGAAAAAAAATCGTCTATTCTAAGAAATCTAGCGAAACTTTTTTTTTTTTTCAAAACTAATTTTAGTATTTAATGGATTTGGCAAAACATAATATTAAAAATAATTTCACATTTATAAGTTGGGACTTCTATTCTTTTATACAATTAGTTTAAGCACCAAGCAATCTCAGTGTTGTCAATAGTTGCTGTAAAAACTTCTACCACTACTTAGGGGTGTAGTTTATCCTTCAAATATATTTGGAAACAAGCTTGGATGATGTGATGATACTTTATTCATTAAATATAACCTATTTAATGAATAAAGTATCACCATTGACGAAGATATTGCGTGACATACACACAAAGAAAAGAAAAACATGTTACATTGTTAACTTCCTCCTTTTTTGAAATCTGCTAATAAAAGTAACTATAGTTTCTAGAATGCAAAGACATTTTATCTATTTATTATGTAAGGGGTTGTAAAAGTTTTCTTAATTTTTTAGTACTATTTATTTAATTTTATTTGTTTTAATAAGATATAATATAATCATATACATTTTCTACATTAGTATCAGTAAGTAGCATTTGCGAACTTCGTATTTTAGATATAGATCATATATATATAAAATAAGAAGTTCGCAAATGCTTACTTCGTCTACGTTCAGTGCATCCTGCACAGAACACATGCAGTTAACTAACTCAAAAATATAGCCAACATTTTTTCTGAAATTATGTCTTTGTGGAGTAGGAGATTCCAAGCTATGATTATATATCTGTCTATATAATCAAAGATGCCAAGTTTTGAGGGCAGGTGGGGGCATTAGATATTTTAAAGGGCCGTATCTAATGGACTCCGGTGGCTGAAATAACGTAGTATGTTTTTATTTTCGTTATTTATTAATTCATTTCATTGACCGGAAACTACTCTTATGAATTGGAATTCCGTTGAACTATTCTTATTAAGAGTCAAGTGTAACAGATTGGAAATAGAAGTATAAACAAATTTGTTTTCGTTCTGCTTTGGACGCGTATCGAGCTGGGGCTTTAATTTATGTACCATACACATAGACAAATAAAAAGATCATACGTAAACACATGATTTAGATAGAATAGAATTATTTTTTATTCAATCCTTGCGACTTGCCCTGGTTTTGCCGGGCTAGGTTCTATTAATGTGAGGTTATTTAGATTTGAATTAAATATAGACCATTTATTTTTAAAAAAATTTCCTCCTTTATCTGACAAAATATAGCTCGCTTGGAGCACTTCAGGTATTGTTCTCTATTCTATCGTGAAGTTTCTTTACAATAGGTTTAGCCATTAGAAGGTTAGCGCAACAGACAAAAATTTAAAAATAGTTATTCATATCTTAATAGCATACAAATAATCCCTTCAGCTCCATATAAGGCAGTATTTTCCATATTGCAGACAGACACTTAAATTTTATTTATATGTATAGGTAGATTATGATGAATTCTTATTGAAAGTAATTTTTTACTTTGACTACTAGTTCGGAAAAATCTTCTGTCCTGGGAACGGGACGTTTTTCCACAATAAGCAATCTTCACCTTAAGCAACCCGTAAAAATATACTACTGTACACGGGCCCTTTTTAGGTAATAATGCAGTGATAGGCTTAAAGCAAATCACTCCGTTGTTACTGACCTTTTAAGTGGAGAGCTTGGAATGCCGGACCCGTTGAGCAAGAAAGGTTCTCGTACCGATTAGTATGTTCTCTTCCTGGTATACTTTAGATGTCTGGAAAGTTGGCAAGCTCAGAGACTGTATACCCTCAATATAAATAAATAATTACCCGAATTTCATTAGTCAGCGCCAAACAATTTATTTATTGCAGTTTTAAATTTTGATTTAATATATGCTCGATGCAGCACTATGATTTCTGCAGTAGTGCTGGAGTAAATAACATAGCCAACGGATCAATTAGCTGAAGTTTGGCCTGCCGTATCAAAGAACCGATAACTGATTGTGGGAACAAGGGTTCGAGAGTGGCAGCCTTCTACCGGTAAGCGAAGATAAAGCACCCCCATGAGATAGAGTGACGACCTAGGATAGCAATAAGGAAGTAGAAGGAGCTACTCATATGACTCAGGAACGTGACAGCAAACGAATAGAAAACTCAGGTTATTTCTGTACATAAATTCCTTTGTCCCGTAATACCGTAAATGTGCAACCTTGCGCAGATATTTCAGTCGTCACGAAACACGCTTGCTATGTTGGACGCGTGAGCGGATAATCTGCATTAAATCTTAATTTATACAATATATACTTTAACAGGAAATTGCTGAAATCCCGCTGGGTAATAAATAAACCATCCCATGTTGATAATTTGTATGATTTACCGATTTAGCAAGAAGGCCGAGAGCGAAAATGAAGATATTTTTAGACTTGTATCATGGCGTGTCGATGCAAAGTGGCTTGTTATTATTTTTGGGATGGTTATTAATAGCCACACCAATATAACATCCGCTGCCGAATGATTAAGGCAAGAGAGATTCAATAACAGCGTTTTGTACTATTAATGCCGCAGAAAATAAGCCAAAGCACCATATGAAAAATAATCATGTTCATTATTAAAGCTGCATTTGTGCGCGACCCACCAGCATTTTAGTCCAGTCAAATAAGGACTGAAATGAAAATTTTGGCACTCAACTTTGCATTGTTGATATAATGTAGTTTTAATGATACATAAGCAATGTGTTAAAGGTTTTCATATC